ATATATATATATATATATATATATATATATATATATAATATATACTTTTTGATGCATTTGCATGAAAGTCGTTCGACCAGATGGGACTTTCCTGCAATCATACCATCTGACCAGAATATAGCGTTCCCCATAAACATCTTGTTTAACGTAAAAAAGTTAGCTTTCCCAGTCAGTCGATTGAAAGACTGACGACAAGCATTCAAAGTAGGCCCCGATCTCGCCGACACGGCGTCGAGGCGACAAGACAAATGCTCAAGAAAAAGAACGGAAAATCGTACCAGCAGAAGTATTGGTCGATGTCAGCAGCCGGTCATGTGATCTCGATCACGTGACTGACCCCACTGACACGCCACGTGATCTCGAGCGAAAACCATGTATCTGTCTGTCTTAATACCTGTTAAGGATTGACGGTCGATTTCGGTCGCCAGGTAAGATACAGACGGGAAGACGATTGAACGGTGGAGGTAAACATTCCGTCCACAGCCCGCCAAGCGATCTGAATGGGTTCGACCCCGATGTGTGCGACCCGGAAAACGGATGGGATTATCCGACGTCGATTTGGAAAACAGGACACTGTCATCTAAAGTGAGAGATTGGACCATGGCAGCTACACATACATAAAGGCTAGACTATTGTGTTTATTGTCAGGGTGTCACCGCCATTCATTCATTAATTTTTTGCCATTGGCATTGCGTCATTGCGTTTCGATTCATATGCAAACTATGTTTCGCTTTTCAAAAGACTTGGACAGAGTCATCAAAACCATGAGCGATTAAATTCATCGATATCGTCACCTGGAAACGCCTGGCCTGACCAGACTCACACCCAGCCAATTTTCGGATAATGCTATTTGTGAACTTGGTGCGCCAGCTAGCTCCCCAAAAAATGTTCCAATGTTCGAACGCATTGATCAAACTAGTGGACATGGATCCCGGTAAATGGCTGACTTCATAAGCACGGGTTTTGACATCCTCTACGTAAGGGCAATTCATCACTCTCACGTCTGTTATCACTCCGCTCGTACTAACCGCCAAAGGTGTCCTGCTGATAACTCGGCGAAGAAACGTGCTCTCGGTCACAGTTTGTCATATGTGACCACAGTTTAGGTCGTCAAAGGTTATCTGACAAGTTAAGGCTTATGTCTTCTGAGCTCCGAACGCCATTCTATCCGGTGAACACAGCATACGTCATTTCACACGCAAATACGACGTAGATTTGGGTTGCAAACAGCTATGGCAGCAGCTGAACGTGTACGCTGTATGAGTTTCTGACGTCACTGTTCCCCCCACACGGATAATATGGCACCCACTTTTCCGACATGCCACTCGGTCTAGGTTGGCGTCTCGACTTGACCTGACCGACCTAACGCATTATGTGGGGAAACAATCTAAAACGCTGTCCACGACTGACGTCATCAAGTTCAACCACCAAACACCAGACATATGTTTGATGTTCACATCCTCCCCGTGTACGGTTTGAGCAATATCTGACGCTGGGTGGTAGTATAAGAAGTGTGCAAATATATCCAAATCCTTTTCATGATGCTTTACTTCCTTTACTACCTCAGTCAGGAGGCTGACATGTGACAGTGCACATCTGCAGCGATATAAATGCACGCTTTAGCCGGAGGTTGTTCAGTGCATAAGCGAGGAACATTATTCCCACAGATTGGGCAGTAGTATTAGCCTTATTCCTCGGAAAAAAAACAGGAGAATGGAGATTAGTTAGGCCGACGTTTCAGCAACATGCCTTTATCGAAACAATAGTTGAAGTGAATTCAAAATTGCCTGCCGATGATCCTACTCGATCTTTAAATTTTTTGTTGTTGAAAAAGCGAGCCACATTCTTTTTTATAGGACACCAACATTTAGGGGATTAAACAAAGAGCGATTGCCAGTAATTACCACGATACAGTACCTATGTAAGAATTAGAATACGCGAACATACGTGTACATGCAAACGAATTCAAGCAAATAGGCATCACGCATTTCGCTCCATTCAAACTTGCAGCGAATTGAAATAAACAGGCATCACACGTCGCGTATCAATTATATATGCAAACGATTTCAATTGAACAGGCATCGCACTTCACGCGTCAGGCATCACCTAAACTGTCGCTTGAACACTGTTTACTTGGCTTGTGGCTTGAACACTGAACACTTAAACTGTAAAAAACGGTGGCTTGCTAAAAAAAAACCCTCAAAAATCGAGGACAACGTATACAGACCTGTATGTAAGTATGTTGTTCTTATAAAAAGTCGGCGACCAAATCTTAACATACAGGGCTCATCATGGCCGATTATGCGAATGTGACATGTGCCTTTGTATGTTGTGTACTAGCTTAAAATCGTTTACACGAGTGAGTGATGCCTGACGCGTGATGTACGATGCCTGTTCAATTGAAATAGTTTACAGGTATAATTAATGCGCGACGTATGTATGATGCCTGTTTACTTCAATTCGCTTGCATTTTTTAATGAAGCGGGATGCGTGATGCCTA